ACGATAGAAATAATATAGAATTTTTTAAAAAGCAGAAAGAGACCCGCACTGGGGAATATTCTGCACGTCATTACTGAGGACTCGCCGCTCAGGTTGCAGGGTTTAGGCCTGAGGAAAGATCAAACCGCCCAACAGTGACCGCACACAGTGTTCCTCTGGGTGAACGGACGGGTTCTCCGAGAGCTCGATCCTTGTTTCCCCGCGGGCCTGGGCGCACAGACCAGCCCGGGCACTCGCTGCCTGCAGGGGCTGAGGGCGCCAAGGTCCGGCCTGCGGGCCCCACATCCTCACTGGGGAGCCCGGGCAGCTGAATGCAGTCCTCCGTGACCGACTGCATTTGTACGGTCGAAAAGACATCAACAAACCACAGCCCCCGGGTCCGAGTGGATGCATGGGGGGGTTTCTGCAGTCCTGGGGACCTCCCCCGGGGTCTGCTTCAGACAGCATAAACATTAAGACTCCCCAGAACATGAGGATGTCAGTGTGGACCCCACAAAGGGACAGACAGACGGGCAGGACGGAGAGTGTTTGTATGCTGAGCTTTTTATGTACCCAAGTGCTGAGTCATCTTTGGAGAAGCACACAAATTCATAGTAATTTGCAAAATGTTTTGTTTATTTTGTTTTTTGGTATCAGGGATCGTGGGGTTGGGAATTCTAACTATTTATGACTGTTACAGCCAGAGACAAACGCCTCTGTATTTTTCAAGGTCAGATTAGGGTTCCCAGGCCTTATTTTGGGGGGCCGTGCACCACAATCTTCCCTGGGGGTACGGGGCACCCCTTTTTTGTGCTCCTGCTTGAAGCACAGTGTAGAGCTCACCCAGCAGCCCAGCGATCTCTCTTCCCGTGGGGAGACCCAGACTGCTGTGTCCTCTGACAGCTGGTTTATCTTTTTATCTTATTTTTGTTTTTATTTTGGGGGTTTCCAGGACTCGAACTCAGGACCTTGACCTTGCCAGATGGGAGCTGAGCTGCGGAGCGACCTCCCTCCCCGGCCCCGGAACGGTGCCATCCCATCCTGCCCTGCTTCCTGGCTGACCTTGGAGGCCGAGGATCAAAACATCAGCTGCCCACCAGCCCGGTGACTGTTTAATTATTTTTGTACTGGTCTCTCAGAAAGAACGGACAATGCATTTATAAGCACAATGGCTTTGCTTGTTTATTTTTTGTCTTTTTGAGTCGGGGTCTCGATCTGTAGTCCAGGCTGGCCTGGAGCTCACTCTGCAGCCCAGGCTGCTCTCGAACTCACAGAGACCGTCCTGCCTCAGCCTCCCCGGTGAGTGCTGGGGTGACACGTGTGCGCCGTCATGCCCGCTGGGGCTGCACTCTGAGAATCCGTTTCTCTCCCAGCCACTTTGGAGACTTTTGGAGAAGAACATGAATCACCTAAAAGTTTATGCAGAGACACCTCTTCCAACTAATCCGTGCATGCATTTTATGTCACCGCCCTGCAAGGCCTGGTTTCAGAAACGGGCGGAGGCCAAAGATTGATCGCCCCGAGATGAAGCGTACAAAGCCACGTTTTGTGCAGACAGAGCCGTGTGGGCCCCGCCAGAGCGCAGGCCACGGACGGCCCACGTCAGAGAGCTGCTTGTGGGTTTAGTGGGAGGCAGGGAGGCCTCCAGGAAGCGTCCTCCCGACAGGGCGGGCACCGGCGATTGCATGCAGGGCCGGCTGCCAGTTCGCAGTTGCAGGGCACCGATGCCAAAGCAAACAGCTTGAGAACAGGTATTTCGGGACTGTCTGGCTGGGGCCCTGCGTGGTGGTGCACGCCTGGGTTTTGCAAGCGTGAGACCAGCCCGGGCAAGGCGGGTGAGCTCGCCTCAGAACAAGAAACAGGGCTGAGGTGTGGCTTGGCGTTAAGGCTGGCTGAGCTCAGAGCTTGGTTTTCTGTCCTGGTCCTTTAAAGCTGCAGAGGTCTGGCTTGCCCGGTGGGCATGAGCGTCCCGCCCAGCTGGCCAGCAGCAGGGCAGGCTTCCCGGGACCTGGACGCCTCCGCTTTAAGCATCTGTCTTTGGGTTTGCTGGCTTCACAGACGATGGCGAGCGGCCTGGCATTCGTGAAAGATGGGTGGGGTGGGAGACGTCTCTGAGCCTGGGAACTGCCCGCCTGCCCGCCGGTGGGCAAGGACGGACTTGTTTCTGCTCCTCGACTTGCAAATCACAGTGCACGCAGTGCCAGCTCTGCAAACGGAGGTGTGGCCAGCCCTGCACAGGGGGAGCCGGGCGGCAGCGCGGGCCAAGGCACACAGCACCGGGACAGCCTGCTGCCCAGCAGGGCTCCGGGTGGCCTCCGAGGCCGCGGGGCTGTGTGGAGGCCGGACAATAAATCAAAGGCGGGTTCAAAACAAGACGGAGGAACAAAGCTTAACGTCGTCCCAGGAAGGAGCCAGCGCGTCTGGGCTCGCCGTGAGGGCCTGCGCCGTGATTTCGGGGTGTTTGGAAAGGCCAGGTTCCCGCAGTCAGCCCTGATGACCCGGGCATGCAGGGCGGGGTCCCAGCGCCCAGCTTTGTCCTGCAGCCTTTCCTGTTTGTCCAGCTCGACCAGAGTGGACGATGCTTAACAGCATTACAGACCGGTTGGTGGCTGGGCAGCGGCGCAGGGCCGGCAGCTCGGCACCCTGAAGGCTGAGGCAGGACGATCTCAAGTCTGAGCCCGGCATTGGTGAGAGCCTGCGGCAGAATTAGGACAAAGAAAGAGGCTGGCGGTGTAGCTCAGTGCAAAGGCCCTGGGCTCGGTCTCCGCTCCTGCAAAGGCACAAGAACAGTGACCACCAGAATACTGCACGACACTGATGCAGCCGCTGTGTTCTGGATTCAGCTGATTTATGCGCAGATCTCTTCCCGAGACGGCCGTACACTAACCCAGACACACGCCACACACACAAGGTGCCACGCGTGTGCAGATAACTATACACACAGACATGTATACACACAGACATGCCAACTATACACACACAAACGTGTGAACATGTATGTGTGTACACACAGTCCATGCATACCCACAGCTACAGACCCGTGCCCAGACACACATGCACACATGCCACATACATAGGAATGTCACACATGTGTATACACAACTATGCACCCATGTACAAATGCACAAATATGAACAGCCAGGTACATACGCTTGTTATGCGCATAGCTGTATCCACACACAAACACACATCCATGCACATGATCATACATACATGCATACATGTATACATATGCAAATATATGCAAGCAGTGTGCATGTACACCTTTCATAAATATGTGTACAACATATCACACACATACCGTGCACAAAACACACGAAATACATACACAAGAATGTACGGATGCATAATGCACACTCACATATATATCTATATTCTGTGTGCACATCCACAACTCTGCACACTTGCATGCAAGCATGTACACACATGTGCCATATACCTGTACAAAAATTACACATGTATCCAAATATATGTCCTGTCCACATTCATATACATATATATATATATATATATATATATATATATATACATATACTTGTATATGGTATATACACATGCATTTGAATACAGCGTATATATGCATGTGCACATATCATGCACTAAAAATGTGCGTGCTGTAATATATGCATATGTACATGCTTATATGGTGCACATATCTGTGTATGTACACATATATCCGTATGTACACACCCAGCCCAGGCCCCTGTATACACACAGACACGCCATACATATGCACACACACGTGTACACACACCATATGCTAACATGCATGGGCATGTGACCATGCGTGTGCATGACATGTGTGCATTATGTATGCATGTACACACCACACAGGTACACACACCTGCACACACACACCCACACATGGGCAGAGCTGTGTGGCCGTGTTTGTATGCATGTTGATATGCACACAGAGCTGTGTACACACACGTGCACACACAGGTGCCAGCTGTGCACGCAGATGCCCTGCAGGGGCCTGAAAGCCACAGCCGGACAGGTTTGATGAGGAGACTCGGGCAAAGAGCTCGGGGCTTCCACGCAGGAGGCTGAGGCAGGGCACTGCGTGAGTTGCAGGCCCGCCTGGTCCCTGGATGGCGCCCCGAGCCAGGCTCTGACCCCGGGAGGTGGCGGCCGCCCCTGCAGGTGCAGTTAAGGCCTGTGAGGAGGAAGACGGCCCGCCGGGGTGTAATTATGGTAATCACCACCTCACCGCCGCAGCGCAGCTCCTGGGCGGGCGCAGGGCACGGCCGGCTTCAGACTGCAGATGCGGACACTGGAGGCCGAGGAGCAGCCTCGGGGTGAGTGGCCGGCTGGGCGTGGGGCGGCCAGGCACATCCAGCGGGGCGCGGGCTGGACACGGCTGGGCCGGTTACGCTCTCTTCAATGCTCTCTGGCTTTGCGTGGCGGGGTGACCCGGGTCACCAATTTCCCTGGGAAGTGACGTGTGGGTGCGGGTGGGCAGAAGGCCGGAGCGGGGACGCGGGCTCAGCCCCAGCCCCGGGCTCCTTCCGTGGCTGCACCGAGGCCCCCTCGGGGGCTCTGCCCGTCACGGTCGCCTGGAGCGCCAGGCGTCTGGCTCCGTGCGAGGGCCACGCATTGCAGGACACCTGGCCAGGGGGTGAGGTGGCCACGTGCTGCCCGGACAGACACCCGGTCACTTTCTTTGAGTTTATCTTTCTGCTCTGTCCATGCAGCTCTGGTAAAAATTAAGGTCTGAGTGCCATGTGCCAGCAGAGCAAACATAATAATAGTCAGAGACATAATTGTGACACGGGGGAGCCGGCGTGGCCTGTCCCGGTGTGCAGGGCCAGGAGGCCACCGGGAGCTCGTGGTGACCACAGGACATTGTTACGGGCACCAGAGCCCGAGTGCGGGCGTGGGACCCGGGGACACAGCTCCTGTGAAATGCGCCCCCGGGGGGCGTCTCTGAGGCTTTGAAAGCAGGACGGTGGTCACCACCCAGCCCACGTGGGGGCTTCCCTCAGGGTGTGGCCGGCGGGTTGTGAGGAGCGGCCGTGCCC